AATAGTTCAAAGATGTAAATATATATGTGTGTAAATTTAATATTTGGGTAAAGGAGAATTGAAAATCTTTAGAAAGAACTGATTATTCAGTAAATAGTGTTGGAAAACAGGTGATAGATTTAAAAATAATGAAAGGAGAGCTCTACTTCATTCAGACCCCCAAAATTCATACATGTCAAAAGTGAATCATAAGATCCTGGAGGAAAAATTATACATATGCATTGACAAATATCACTGAAAGGTTTTCCTATTAGAATAACATTTTTCATAATGTCATCTGACATGTCTCCACATTTATATACTAATTAAAGTTCTTTACCTCTGTTATATAACAGAAATCCTTTCATCGGCCTTTAATTTAGAAGGAATAGTTCATCATCTATGACTTGTACTGTTAGGAAGAGCTAAAGACTATCCAACTGGCAACAGCCATAATTAATTAAGTAATTAAAATAAATAAATTGAGACATATTAATCGAGGAATTAAATAAATGAGACATGGGGAAACCTGTGCATAAAGAATTCATTGTCTTTGCAAAGCAACAATGAAATATTTTCTTTTCTTTCTTTCTTTCTTTCTTTTCTTTCTTTCTTTCTTTCTTTCTTTCTTTCTTTTCTTTTCTTTTCTTTTCTTTTCTTTCTCTCTTTGGATGGCAGAGCCACAAAGAGTTGTTTTATTATTTTTTATGCACAGACCCCTAGTTAAATTTTTCTCTTATTGAATCATTCTCTGATTTATTCATGATTTTATTAGTATCCCTTTTACTTTAGATTTTTTACTCTCCTACACTTTAGTATATTTTTATTAAAAGTTAGAAGCCACACATTAGCTACAATTTATTCTATTTGTAATCATAGGTAGTTTTAATACTTTATTAACAATGTTCTTAAGACTGCTAGGAGACAGGACTTGTCAATTGAATTACTGCCAGCTTAGGTTTTGTGATTGTAAACATTCTTCCTGTAGCCTTAGTTTAAGGCAATAAAGAATCCTAAATATGAATAGGCCATAAATAAGGCTGTGGGTACAAGAATTCCTAAAAATAATTAGATAAAGGCTATGGGTATATACAGATACTAAATAAAAAGTCTGACTTAGATGTTCTTAAATTAATGATCAGTAAATTAGAGAAGTTGTTTTTCATAACCTCAGTTTCCTTGATAAGTGATGTTTTTGTAGGCTATAAACAGATAGT